AAAAAAAAAAAAAAAAAAAGGGTAGGTACCACCGCCCCGCCTATTTCTGCCGTGAAGCAGTAATGCGTTTCGGTTTGAAACGGGGTAGCCGTTGTGACTATACTGAGATCTTAGAACTTATCTCAAGAAGGGTGGCGCATTTACGTTTTAGATGTCTATGGGCTCCAGTAATGTTAATGTTAATTTTAAATGCCCAGCGAAGCGGGCGAGTACGGCTAGTACTATTATATAAAAACCGTAACACAATAATAAATAATGTAAAACGTCCACCATTTTATTGCTTAAAGCCCAAAAAAAAAACAGCTGAGAATTTGACAAAATACATCTATATTAAATTAAATAACACAATAAAAAAAAACATGTTTTATTTATAATAATTAATACATCATTAACCTAAGTTTCCGTTTTTTTGTCTTTCCACAATTTTTCGCTGCAGTTTTACTAGTTTCGAGTCATAGGGTAATAAGCGACCTGATATCGATTTAATTTCTTTCGTATATTCGTTGACCACCTAACGAGCAACGGGCGTAATTCGACATGCCTTGACAAGGTCAGTTGAAGTTTTGCATCCCGAATACGCCGAATCGAGTCTTGTAAGAAAAATAACATCGCACTTTCAGTCCGCCTCATTCAAGTTCGTTATTAAATAAAGCTTTTGTCGTTAGCCGCTGTCTGGTCGTCATTGGAAAAGAATTTTGCCACTCACAAGCCTTCTAGTGAATTAGAAAGATGCTTATCATTTAATACGTGATGTGAATTTTAAGGTTCTATCACGACAAGTCTTTTGCTTAATTTTCTTATTAAATTTTTTTTTTTTTTTGGTAGTTTTAGAAAATCCAAAATTACATACAACGTTCAGACAGCGTCTAATTATGAGCGAAAATATTATGATTAATGTCTATCGATCGTCTTAAAGTTCCTATAGACGTCCACATCCACATGACGGATCTATGTATTGAGTGACGAAACCACCGCCAGTATTTATGACAGCCTTACCCGAAGACGGCATGTTACCATCGACGGCGACCGTGCCGTAAACCGGGAAGCAACCGCTCACTTTTATCGTGCCGCCTATCGGCATGTCCCCTGTGACCGAAATGTCACCGAACTGCAGAGAAGGCACGATCTCGGTGACCAGGGGTGTCACTTGGTTAGTGCGGACGGAGCCGTAGTCCGGAAACCCCGTTGCGGGGCTAAAGCAATTCGGTAAGGAGGTGACCGTGGCCTGGCCGTTCCCGGTCGCTACTGTGGGAATGTAAAGGGATGAGCCGTAAGGACTGTACACGTTCGTCCCGAGGCAGCCGTTCCCGGACATCGGCAAACTGAGGATACCCTGTTGAAAACAAAACAAAAGCCACAATTAAATTGACTTAAACATGAAATGGTAGAAAATTTATTTTTGTTTACCGGCAACACTGGATCTTTTATAGAATCCCTGTTTCTCTTCTTCGAACATAAAGGAAATAAAATTTAAAATAATAATTACATCGACATAAATGGAACTTTTATTTTTGCAAGACAATCGTTATGCCTGCGCTAATTAATGTGCAATTATTTGTTAGCATTATTCTTTGTGGGTTTTGTTAGCGTAACACTTGTTTGAGTGAGTAAGCTAATAGTTTAAATCGTTTTTATTGTCTCGCGCTGAGTAATGTAAGTCTGAGCTACATTCTTTGTATAAGATATTTGACATTTACGATTTTGGGTGTAACTTATTATTATATATGTCTTTCTACATTTAACAAACGGGAAAGTTGTATCTTGGGTCGGCTTTCAATAAATTTCACAGTGTATTTAAAAAAAATTTAAAAAAATACACATCAAAGTATTTTTAAAGCAATTATATCGACGTTAAATAAAATTTTCATTTAATTAACGAGTATACATTTTAGTTTATTTTTATTTTATTATAGAGTAGTTTATTTTTATTTTATTTTTTCTCCAAATTAATTGACTGATTGACATAATGATAGCTAATATTGACATAGAGTGGTTACTACTGTATTGATATAATTATGTGTTTCTAATTCATTTCCTTTGTATATTTAATTAATTGAATTAGTATATTGTTCATTTTCTATTTGTATTGTTGAACTGTTTGTGTGCTGACTATTGTATTATTATTATTTTATGGATTTTTTCTGAAATAAATGTTTTATTGTTATTATTATTAAACAATTGCAAATCTAATTTTTTCGATTACTATTAAATTATTTCACGACCAAATCTATACTAATATTATAAAGAGGAAAGATTTGTTTGTTTGTTTGTTTCGAATAGGCTCCGAAACTACTGGACCGATTTGAAAAATTCTTTTTCCATTAGAAGCCGACATTGTCCCTGATGAACATAGGCTACTCTTTTTTAATTTATTTTTAATTTTATTTTTTTGGTTTTATGTGTGTTTTAATGTTTCCGAAGCGAAGCGAGGGCGGGTCGCTAGTGAAATAATAAAAGGAATTTTCCGTAGTTAAATGTTGAAAAACGTCAACAGATGTCGCTATGTAATACGCGTTTAGCACAGATAAAAAATTCTACCGTATTCTACCAAAACGGACAACGTACCTGTATTAGTACTAAAATCACGGCCAATACCCCTCCAGACTCCATTTCTGTGCTGGTACCACAACAGAACAATGCAACGAGGCTTCGTGTACTGCCTTATATACATTCGGACATGCCTTATCACTTTCCTCGCGTGCTTATCGAAGTTTTGCGTAAATTTTTAATGTAACCCCGTTTTTATCTAAATTACCGATGCAATTAAAATATTTCAAAACAATTGCTACACTTGCCGCGTAGCTTTGTCGTAGCGATGCCTACGGTAGTCTACGGCGTAGCTGGTCTTTGATACTGTAGGCTTTGTTATAGCATTGATAATAAGTGAAGATAAATTAGAATTCAGATTAACTAAAAGTAGTAATTCTTTAACGTTAAATTAATTATTTCTTCTTATTTTTTCCTTAAGTATGACAATTGATTTCTTGCGACGCCATTGCTGTCAGTATCGAAGTTTCTAAGATTTAATCTATATATTAATACGTGAAGGAAAAACTTTGTACCCCTTTTTACGAAAATTGCGCGGACGGAGGAGTATAAAATTTTCCACACTTATAGAGAATATAGAGAAGAAGTGCACAATGCTAATATTTTTTTAAAATAATGCATAAAAGATACATTAAATCAATAAAAAATCATTACACACAACAACAATGTATTTGACAAACACACGCATGCATGCTATTTGTTTATTGTCAAAATGTTCCTATTGCTTATAAATAGTCTGTGGTAAAATTTAGAATAGATTAAATATAAATAAAGTTTGTCTTTATTAATATTTGTCTAAAGTGTAGTATTGGCGAAATCTGTGATTATAGAAGTATTTGACAATAAAATCATAACAGTGTACAAACTTATAATTTCAATTAATTATAATCGAACTTCGATTACCGGGGGACCACTAGTCGTAGTAAAAGACCATTGCAATATTAAGACATTGCTTTGATTGTTATTTATGTGATGAGATGTTGGTATCTTCTCGGGTCGTTGCGAGTCAAAGACATTATTATAACTAGTTTCGTGGCTTAATATCACGTTTTTTTTAAAATGGAATAATCTTAATATATATAAATTACGTGTCACGTTGTTTGGCCGCGATGGACACCTGAACTACTGAACCGATTTTAACTTTTTGTTATTTTTATATGTGTTTTGTTCCAACTTAGGCCATAGGATGGTTTTTATTTCAATTAATGGTCGCAATATTTATTAATAACAATAAAATGATTTCTTATGTTGATTATTATTATTAATTGTAAGTTTCATAAGTCTAAAACAGATGTCGCCTTAAATCAGTTTTTACAGACAATTGTAATACTGTCTGACATTAATATCTCATAGATGGCGCTGTGTTAAAAATACCAACGTTTCACATAAGCTACAATGTAATGGCATAAACACCACGTGTTGCTGAGGCTAAAGTATAAGTGAAATTTATTTCGTAGTAAACGCAATACAGTGAAATCGAATTGTTTTTTTGGAACGAATTTCCTTACGGCAGGCTGGGAGGAGATAGGGATTTTGCTGCGCGACCGAACTGAAAAAAATGTGATAGTAAAACCGTAAGAAAAAGTCCGTGGAATAAAACCGTTAAATGAGACGTGCGCAGGCGCGACAGTCGTATACACAAGCGAGTAGTATATAATACCTTTCTCTTTCTCCTTCTTTCTTTTCGTTCTCTCATCCCTTCTCTCTCTATTACCACTCCACCCCGCCAATGCATAATATACTCATGAATTTATAGACAAGCACGTGGCGAATACTCACATTATAGATACATTTTACTCGCTCAAACAAATATCTATATATTAATACGTGAAGCAAAAACTTTGTATCCCTTTTTACGAAAATTGCGCGGACGGAGGAGTATGAAATTTTCCACAATTCTAGAGAATATAGAGAAGAAGTGCACAATGCTAATATTTTTTTTAAATAATGCATGAAAGATACATTAAATCAATAAAAAAAACGTTACACACACTACCATGTATTTGACACACACATGGATACTACATATTTATTTATTGTCAAACTTTTGTTCTTGACGTCTGTGGTCAAATTGAGAACAGATTAAATGAGGCCTATAAAATCAAAGGCAGCTAAATTCAATTCTGTCAAATATTGAGGTAAACTACAAAAATCGGCCCTAAACACGTCACTACCGATCCTCCTGATCCATCGAAGTACTGCTTTTGCTAGGGCCAGTGTTAGCAACACTCCCGGTTTGAGAAACTGAAATAACTTTGTTCGGGTAGCTACGATATTCTTTATTTTAAAGCAGATTTATAAAGAATGAGAATATTACTAATAATCTGAATTTTAAATGATTAAGCTTTGTTTATATTTTAGTACAGAGCAAAAATTAAATTTTTGAACTGAATTTGCATTTTTTGCAAGAGATTTATTGCATTTGTTATAACATGAAAATACTACTTAAAGCGTGTTCAACTAACTAAACAAGATGGCGCCATAGTTAATCCATTTTACTACACTATGGCGTTTAGCTGCCTTTGATTTTATAGGCCTCAAATATAGTTTTTCTTTATTAATATTTTTCTATAGTGTATTCTTGGTGAAATTTGTGACTATATTAGTATAACAGTCTTTGAAATTAGAATCATAATAGTGTACAAACTTACAATTTTAATTAATTATAGTCGAACTTCGACTACTGCAGGGCCACTAGTATTAATAAATTCACTTAATAAAATATAACTTAAATGCTACTTAATAAATTCATAACGGTATAATTATTAAACGGTAGGCAGTGGCTTGGCTCTACCCCTGGCATTGCTGACGTCCGTGAGCATAAAAATAATAATAATTCCGCTAACTTTTCCAGCAGCATTCCTAATTAAGTTGGAAACAAAGGATTTTTCACGTTTTTCTCTCGGTACCTACGTTGTTTTTTTGAATTATCACGCTGTTTTGAAACGCGGTCTGCCAGTCACGTTCCTGTTTCGTACGATAAGCACAATACACGTGTATATATCTGACTTCCGTATTCCGTGAGTATAGGGTTGTCGTTTGCTTGAAGTTGTGAATCTAATAATAATGTTTTAATAAATATGTGTGAATATAATAATAATGTTTTTATTGCAAGTAACCATGACTCATATAAATTGTTAATAAGACTTAGACCTATATTAGTAGTTATATTTACATCACAATGAATTACTGTCGTAACATCCCATGGGAGATGGCACCACAGCGACCCATGTATACACAGTCCAGCCTGCTTGCGATCATGCTCAGGATACTGTTGGAGCTGTTCCTCACTCTGCTTACCAGAGATGCACACCTCTTACGCATGGTAGCGTAAAAACAATCTATGTGCGCGTCTGCAAACATCCCTGATGCGCTACAAAAGCGGGGCAGCACCACCAGCACCCTAAACGCGTTAATTATGCTTTTGAAAGAGACAATTGCGCGTAAAGATCAGATATAGTTTTATTATTATTTGTACTGGTGATAGGACCTCTTATGGGTCCGCACGGGTAGGTACCACCACCCTGTCTATTTCTGCCGTGAAGCAGTAATGCGTTTCGGTTTGAAGGGTGAGCAGCCGTTGTAACATACTGAGACCTTAGAACTTATATCTCAAGATGGGTGGCGCATTTACGTTGTAGATATATATGGGCTCAAGTAACCACTCAACAGCAAGTGGGCTGTGAGCTCGTCTACCCATCTAAGCAATAAATAAAAAAAAAAAAACAAAAACAAAATTAGTGGAGAGAATTTTTTTAGGCGCTTCACGATTTACGTGGAGGCGGGAGACTCAGACAATCACCTCTCCGGTAACCGTACTCGTCGAACTTGGCAAAGAGTCCGACGTGTCGGGCGCCAACTTGACGTGTTATGCGGACGACACGCTTGTCACTGCCCGGGGGAGCTCGCACAGGGAAGCGACGTTGATAGCCGCGGCTGCGGTGTCACTGGTGGTGAACCGCATCCGGCGCCTGGGCCTGGAGGTGGCCCTAAACAAGTCGGAGGCTATGGTGTTTCATGGCCCCCGACGTGCGCCGGCGCCGGGATCACACATCGNAAAAAAAAAAAAAAAAAAAAAGAGTCCGACGTGCAATTTAACCTAAGCATCAGCCCGCTGAGTTTCTGGCCGGGTCTTCTCAGCGGGTCTCGATTCCGATCCGGTAGTAGATTCATTCGCGAAGCATTTACTCTTGAGTTGTTAGGTCTCCCTTGGAGGCACTCGGGTAGCTGTTAGCAAATCCCGCCCCTTCTGGCTGAGCCGACCAGCTGTCCTTGTGAAACTGGAAAGGCCTCCGGGCCACCAGTAAACCCTTAATCATAAAAATCCACCTCATCGGTTATAGATGACAATAAAAAACGCGAAATAAAACCGTTCAAATAGTTTAATTAGATACATATGTATATACATATATATTTACTAGATTTTGCCCACCGACTTCGTCCGCGTGGAATAGTTACTTTGGCATAACGCTAAATTTTACCCGCAACTTCATTTCTTTATTCTTTACTAGCTGACCCGGCAGACTTCGTAGTGCCTCAATCGATAAATAAAAGACCTAAACTTTTGTATAAAATAAACTTATAACAAACAAAAGGAATCCGTCCGATGGGGGACACATCAAAGGGACAACAAAATTGTTATTTTTATTTAATTCCGAGCATTTTCATATTTATCTACCTTTTAAACCTTCTCTGGACTTCCACGAATAATTCAAGACCAAAATTAGCCAAATCGGTTCAACCGTTCTCGAGTTTTAGCGAGACTAACGAACAGCAATTCATATTTATATATATAGATTGTACACACAGTTAATACAATACAATAATTGCGAAAAGTTATAAAATGGCGAGCTTAACTCAACAATTGAGTTATTTACCAGCTAACCGTTCTCAAAGAGGGAGAACTTTACATAAGTGGGTAGAAGAGTACAATATAATCAATTTACTTATTGATACAATACACAATAACAATAATAACAAAAAAAACACTAATACATAATATATCAGACTATATACATGCAGTATTACACTCATAAATAACATAAACATACATACACGTACATATATAATGAAATACATAAAATAAATACATATAAGTAATACTAAATCGATAGATAGTGTTCCTTTAATGCCTTCCTGAACACTTCAAGTGAGGGGCTTGCACGGATTGAGTGCGGAACTGAGTTCCACAGACGCACAGAGTGCACAGTGAACGCGAACCGCCGTAGGGGCTAGAGGAGTGAGGGGGAAAACTAAGGAGAAGGGATCTATTAGTACGACAGGGTACACCACGGGGAATCTGGTAGTCGAAGCGCTCACGGAGGTACTGGGGAACAGCTGAAAATATTTTTGAATTATATAATGTTAAGGAGCCATTTAAACCCCTATTTTGAAAAATTCTTTATTGGTGCTCCACTTGTATTGATCTTAGAGTGGTGTTATATATATATATATGCACGCTTTCGCGGAGCAGCGCCGCGTCCTCGTTGCAAAAATAGGACCGGACTTGTCACTTCCGACCGTCGTGGCTACGATGCTCCGCAGCGACGAGTCCTGGCAGGCAATGCTCGACTTCTGTGAGTCCACCATCTCGCAGAAGGAGGCGGCGGAACGGGAGAGGGAGAGCTCTTCTTCCCTCTCGGCGCCGTGCCGCCGCCGTCGAGCCGGGGGTCGGAGGAGGGCGTTTGTCCAGCTCCAGCCCCTATGAGGAGGCAGTCTCCTCCCGGTGATGGTCACGGGGCGACCTAAGGGGGTTGAGGCTGCGCCGCACGCTACCGTCACTCTAGCGCGCTGGCACCAGGAGGACGGGACGGCGCGTCGGCGGCTGCGGACTGCGATGCGGTCCGCATTTTCGTCGTCGCTGTCGTCGCCGAACATACTGTTGAAGAGCAACCCGGTCGGCGGTGTATCGCGTTCCGACCCGGCAGGCTGGTTCTGGCCCAGCGGGGTATCCCGGAACACCAGCGGCACCGCCCGGGCGGCCTGAAGGGCCGCCGTACCGCGGAGACTGACGTCGTTGGTCGTCGACTATCGCCTCGACGACCCGTCGGTCGGGCGTCCTCGGGGTGGCGCCGCGTGTCTGGTTGTAGTGTTGACCGCGGGAACCCCCCTACTCTGTCCAGGTTCTGACCCCGGACGGAGATCGGACGTCGGGTGTAAGAGTGCAGGGGAGTCGTTTAGTGGGTGGGCCCTAAAATCCTTGGGCCCGCGATCTGCTCTCAACACCTGCAGATCGTTAAGTCTCACATACCCCGCGCGCCCCCTAGGCGCGGGGACCTCGTAGGAGGTTCGGCCATCAGCCCGAAAAAAAAAAAAAGGTGGCTCAGTGGACACTGAGTTCTTGGACAATCTTTTAATTTTTCGGGTCGCATTCGTTGAACTTTTTTTATTTTTTATTGCTTAGATGGGTGGACGAGCTCACAGCCCACCTGGTGTTTAGTGGTTACTGGAGCCCATAGACATCTACGACGTAAATGCGCCACCCACCTTGAGATATAAGTTCCAAGGACTCAAGTATAGTTAGAACGGCTGCCCCACACTTCAAACCGAAACGCATTACTGCTTCACGGTAGAAATAGGCAGAGCGGTGGTACCTACCCGCGCGGACTCACAAGAAGTCCTACCACCAGTAAAAATGAACTACCTCCCTTTTGCCACACGATTAAAAATAAAATCTTTGTGACCACCAAAATAATAAAACATTGGATTGATTCGTCTCATACAGTTTATTGTTTCATTTTTATTTTACATAACACATAAAAAAATATTAAATATTCTAACAGAAATTTATTCATGTAAATAACAAAGCTAAAAGAAAACAATAGATCTTCAACAATAAATACCGGATAAGCTACACCCACAGCTGCAGGTTCCAGTGATAACAACGGTCCCTGATGCTGGTATCGTACCACTAAACTGGACCGTACCGACCACTGGTACCTGCCCCGCCAGAGCTGAAGACCCGCAAACCGGCAAATCTCCCCCAACTTTCAGTCTGCCGTTGCCAGAGCCCCTAAACGGTGAGAAAATTGGACTCCAATTTTGTTGCAACACTGGATCATAGGTTTGGCAATCTCCGCCACCAACATACCCACCGTAGGGACTATAAATTGGGCCAACAGTGGGAGCTGATGCGGGTGCTAATGTTGGAGCCAAATTAGGGATCAAGTTGTGGTAGCCGAAGCTTCCAAAATTGCCGGCTCCAAAACCGTGATTACCAAATCCCAACAAGTTGTGTCCGCCGTGATAATGCGGGAAGTATCCAAAAGTATTCAGTCCAGCGCATACTTCGATGACTGTCTAGAACAACACGATTTAGGTGTTTCAGTAAAAGAGGAACATCATATGTACATATCTAATGTATAATCACTTAAAACTTATAAGCCAAGTGTTTGTACGGCAAACATTAATCATCATTAGCTGAAGTCGTCGTAGCCTAAAGGATAAGACGTGCGGTGCATTCGTATGAAGCGATGCACCAGTGTTCGAATCCCGCAGGCGGGTACCAATTTTTCTAATGAAATACGTACTCAACAAATGTTCACGATTGACTTCCATGGTGAAGGAATAACATCGTGTAATAAAAATCAAACCCGCAAAATTATAATTTGCGTAATCACTGGTGGTAGGACCTCTTGGGAGTCCACGCGGGTAGGTACCACCACCCCGCCTATTTCCGCCGTGAAGCAGTAATGCGTTTCGGTTCGAAGGGTGGGGTGGCCGTTGTAACTATACTGATACCTTAGAACTTATATCTCGAGGTGGGTGGCGCATTTACGTTGTAGATGTCTATGGGCTCCAGTAACCACTTAACATCAGGTGGGCTGTGAGCTCGTCCATCCATCTAAGCAATAAAAAAATAAATAAATAAAATCATTCATCATGCCCCTCTCCCAGTCACCTGGGGTCGGCGCAACATGTTTTCTACTTCCATACTCTTCTATCATATACCATTTCTTCGCTCACTCCCCTCTTACCCATATCGTCTTTAACACAATCTATCCATTTCTTCTTAGGTCTACCTCTTCCTCTATATCCTTCCACAATCATAGTTACGGCAAACATTAATACCATTCAAAAAGTTCCCAGTACCGAAATTGTACTTCTTCATTTGGACATCTAATAATCTTTGCGGCTCTTTCACAAAAATTGACCGAGACATAAAGTTTGAAATCGAATATGACTACAACACCCACTTCGATAAAGCGGCACGACACGAGAACCCTCTCATCGTGGCTGCCGGTAACTACATTCCCGATCCTGCGGACAGAATGGAAAGCAGTCGACGTCACCCAAAACACATAATCTCGGATTCTCCCGATCCACTAACGGTGCTTCTAGGTACTTCAAGCACCGGTCACCGTTTTCGTCGAACCCGTCGCTTGCGACGAAGGGCTCGACGAGTAAATTAACTCTCAGACACAGCCCACTGAGTTTCTCGCTGGATCTTCCCAGTGGGTCGCGATTCCGATCCGGTGGTAGATTCTGCGAAGCATGACTCTTGCTAGGGTTCGTGTTAGCATCGTCGTCAGGTTAGAGCCCCGTGAGCTCACCTACTAGGAACGGTTACGCTGGAATAGCCTCTCTAGGCTACCAGCTTAGGTAGGAAAAAAAAAACTACAACACAGCCAACCCAATGATTACTACAACAAAATCAAACCAACCTGAATTGTAATCAACGGAACAAAGGCTCCAAGCATGGTGATAATTCTAAAAAAACTACACTCGATTACTCAAACCGGTGGTCTATATATGATATCGGTAATCAGAAATTTAGTAACGAACTGGGTCTTTAAGTAATCAGATTATTAGAAAACAAGGCAACAGTGGCACTCCTTATCTATATTACAAAAAAAACGTGTTGACAGTAATGTTATATAAAGGATGCAAGTTATATTGAATCCGTTATTTGGGATTTTGTTTGAACGAAGTCACAAAAATGTCTCTGAGGTGCGTCGTGTTTTGTATTTCCGCTTTCCTAATACAAGTAAGCTGTGTTTATTATTATTAATTTTTTAATAAATTCAATTTGTTTTTGAACAGTGTGTTCTATTATAAGTCGTCTTAAAGTCACATCATTCCGCATTCGGGTACCAATTTTTCTAATGAAATACGTACTTATCAAATGTTCACGATTGATTTCCACGGTGAAGGAATAACATCGTACAATAAAAAAATTTTAAAAATATATGATTTGCGTAATTACGGGTGTTAGGACGCGTGAGGCCTTAATGCGTTTCGGTTTGAAGGGTGGGAAAGCTGTTTTAACTATACTGAGACCTTAGAACTCATATCTCAAGGTGGATGGCGGCGGCTTTGTCGATGTCTATGGGCTCCAATAACCACTTAATGCCCGGTGGGCTGTGAACTTGTCCACCAATCTAAGCAATAAAAAAATAGCACTAGCTGTATGGCCATTTTTCACTTAAAAATGACATTTGAAAACACATATTAGAGAAGTTTCCGTGTAGCAGAGTTAAATTCTGCTCTGCTAGCGTGTGGTTTGATGGCAATAAAAGGAATTATTCTTTAGAAATCACTCAAGTAATTCTAAACAGCACTGTCTACGAAATGACATGTTGAGGGAAATTTTAAATTTGCGTAATTAATGCTGGGACTATTCTGAAAGAGACTTCAACATTATATCTCAAGGTGGGTGTCTCACAATCAGGATTCGTGGTCTCCGATGACCACTTATCTCGTCAACCGATCTATGCAAATGCAACAGCAGGTACCTTTCTATTGTATAAAACACTGACCAATTTTTGCTGAATCAAAAGCTGTTACTTCAGACATCAGCCTCAATTATCTTCGGCTGTATTGGTGGTATCAATTATACGAACTTGTACAAGTACTTACCATCCATCATCTTAGGTATTTTTAATGAAGTATTCGACATGGAAAGATAATGGCAGGTGGATCTACAGTTCATCAACTCATTTAAACAAATAATTTGATGAGATATCCTCCTCCTGGTGTCGATAATCCTCAAAGCGTGTCGTGGCGTGGTCGTGGCCTCATGAGGCTTTTGGAAGAGATTTAGTTCTTCGAGGTTGCTGAAGCCTTATTTGGGTCCGGCTAATTAACCGCCGCCAGACTAACGTTGACTGTTTTATGAAGGAAAAGTCGAACTCTAATTCAACCCTCCTCTTTTTTCATCCGGGCTTTGGACCGGCATTGGCAGAGTTCAATGTTCAGTTTTACTACTAATTATTTTACTTTTCAGACAATATCAAGCCAGTGCGTTGGCTACGGATCTATTTCACCATGCAACGGGAACTTCCCATCTTCTGTCAATCTACCTCAACCTGGCATGACCATCTGCTCGGACAACCTGATCATCGAAGGTCCTGTCTGTATCCAGGGAAGAGTTCCATTTTCAGCCACCGTTGCTGTGGAAGGCCAGTTTCCCACCTCTGGCTACGGAAAGGTCACCTACGAATGCGGTAATGACTTCGGCCTCACCAACCTTCCTCTTGGGTATGGTGGACGCGGTGGTAATTGCGGCTATGGTAGACAATTTTATTAGCTGTTTGGAAATTTTGATATAACATGTTCAGTGTTGATACATGAGAAAAAATGTATAAAGAATAAAGTCGAATAATAAAAGTTGTTAATTTGCATTGTTAAATTATTTCATTTTTCAAATTCAACAAAAAAGATACCTTAGTTTTAATCGTATGAGATAATTTAGTGTATGATAAACGAAATATGAATCTTTTTCTTTCCAGAACTGGTTGTGTTTTGATATTTTTTCAAGGCTTTTGGCAATACCGACGAATTGCGTTAAGACAGCTCATTTTCCGAATCGTATTATGGCTATATTCAATGGTTTAAATAAAAAAAATTAATTCCACAAGCCAATTAATACCAGGCAGACGAAATTGTCGGCATAGCTGCTCGATCGAAGTCTGATTTAACTTTAAAATTTCGCTCTTAACTGTCTTCGGATCATCTCGATCCTCTATCAGTGCTTTTAGGTACCTCAAGTACCGGTCATCGTTCTCGTCAAACCCGTCGCTTGTGACGAAGGGGTCGGCGAGTAAACTAACTTATGGACACAGCTCAACACAACACGGGGCTCAAACCTGACGACGTTGCTAATACTAACCCTAGTAAGACAAGTGCTTTGCAGAATCTACCACGGGATCGAAAACGCGGCCCACTGAGGACTGAGAAGATCCGGCGAGAAACTCAGTGGGCTGTGTCTGTGGGTTAACTTAATTGCCGAGCTCTTCGTCGCAAGTGACGGGTTCGACGAGAACGACGACCGAGCTTTTTTACAGTACAACGGCTGCCCAGCCTTCAAACCGAAACGCATTACTGCTTCACGACAGAAACAGGCAGGGTGGTAGTACCTACCCGGGCAGATTTACAAGACATCTTACCACCAACAAGCTTATGATATAAATGCAATTTCTCAGCGGTATCTGTATTAATCGCAACTTTTATCACAGAAGATTTATATCTGAGTCTCTAATTCATAACATTTTTGAGAAGCAACAAAACACACTTAACATAGACATACATAAATAGTTATGTATGTCGGAGAAGCCATAATTATAAACATCATCATCAGACATCGTAGAGGCGAATAGGGTGATCGAGCTAAAAGAACTATTGAGTACAGCAACGTTTGTTTTCTTAGACCAATTTAGAAATCTTCTCTTGACGTTAGCAAACGATAACGAATGACATTTCTTAGAACTTAGGCACTTCTCTTCAAGAAGGCTGGTTGGTAAGTATGTAATGACGTCTATGCGCCTCCATCGGCTAGGCTCTGTCGTAGCACGAAGTTAGCCGAGCTCCGACGATACCGCAATCGTGCTGCCATCTCTCGGCAATCGTGCTGCCTTTCGTTTAGCTACCAAACTAATGACTGTCTCCAACATGTATATTTTTTGGGGTTAACGACAAGGTGAAGGTATTCCACCAACCGGGTGACATTGCTCTGTAGATTGACGGTCCGAATGTTTTTGTTGGGAACTTGTATAATAATATATGCAAGCTCATCTTGAAATTGTCGTTAGCGAGATTCAGGCATCTGTCAAATATCTTGTATTCTATGATAGCTACCGCCACATTTTAATTGAGATGTCCATTTACTTTTGTGTTTGATAATAGCTGCATTTTATTATATGGATATTATGGAAACGGATATCTTAAATGAACTTAATGGGTTCAAAGATCTCTATTCTGAACGCGATAAACTCCATTTTCATTAACATCAAATTAGAACAGCATTAAATAACTAAAATAATTACACAAATACAAATTTATAATAAGTTCGTTTAATTGAAATAAAACATAAATAAGCGTATTTTTCGGATAGCGTTGTAACCGAAAATCCTGCTAAATCTATATTATAGAACACAATTGTTTTGTTTAGTCCTAACACAGTTGGAGCTCACACATTGAATGCGCAAAACCAGCGCTAACTTAACACTAAAACGTCATAACGCAGCAGCCCAACTCCTCCTCCTTGCGTCGGTTTCCTCATTACTGAGGGTCGTGGTCAGGACCTTGAAACAGTTTGTTTTTTATAATGCACCGCCATCTGTTCCTATCTGCAGCTGAGTGCAGAGCATCGTGCACTGTTGTATCAAGGGCTGCACGAATCTGGTCCGTCCAACGGGTCGAGCTCCTGCCTCTTGGTCGCTTGCCCTCGACCTTTCCAGTGACCACCAATTTCTCCAAGCTATCACTGTCTTTCCTTGCAATGTGGCCAAAGTATTTAAGAATCCTTCGCAGGCAAATGGTGGAGGGTCTAGTCCGGACTTTGAGCTGAGCTAGGATGGATACATTGGTGGGGCGTGCGGTCCAGGGAATACCCAACAATTTTTTGAAAAGTTCTTTAAAATAATGAGCAATAAATTTTGATATAGCATATTTCTGGTACACTGAAATCACATCGTGTGTACGCTATTTTTGTGTAAACACTTAGCTAAGCTTGTTGATTTTTAAGTCTGCAACTAAATACTACTGTACTTTTTTGTTGACGATTGACTCTATTTTGGTTAGCGATATATACACTAACATCAGTTTTTAATGAAACCATGCAATAAACTTAAATTTTATTCTTGCTTGCTCTACAAAAGTATTACTACTTAGACTTTAATAATATTATCTTTAAATAAATATCTAAAAGCATTAAGGACTAAATCCACTAAAACTTAATATCCACAACCACAAGTGCCACTGATGGTGACTACTCCACCAGCTTTTATATCACCACCAAATTGCACGCTGCCGACCACTGGAACTTGACCCGTGACAGCTGTCGATCCTGCTACAGGTAATTCCCCGGCTACCTTCAAGTCCCCGTTTCCTACTCCGCCGTAGAGGCCACTGATAGCCTGCGCCGGATATCCTTGAAGGTTTTGATTGATGAAGCCCGGTGGTATACCTGTAAAACCGGGTCCGGCGATTCCGCCTGCTAGATTTGCACCGCCTGAAAGAAAAAATACGTTTCCATAATGAAAAATCATTCCCACACAATATTTTAATTGCAAACGGATCTACGGATACAATATTGTAGTAATTAAATGGATTCTACAAGCTTTTGTCAACAAACAAACTCACCAATACCGGATCCAATTATTCCGGATCCCCCTAGTCCACCATTAAGGCCCCCACCAGAAAGAGCGTTAGTGTATCCGTGACCCAAACCGTTTGATAGACCATATCCAAGGCCGTTTACCAAATTAATTGGGTTTATTGGACTTTGCCCGGTAACTTGGCCGAAGACAACCTAAAAACCAAATAAAAAACAAGGTTTTGATACTTTTTATAAATGTTTGGACTGGGTACATTAGAGTTTTGGTAGAATTTACGACTTTCCACAAAATTGAATTCTGAAATTAATACCTGGTATTACATGCTTTTAGGTGTAATGAAAATGAATGTAATGAGTTAGGTGTAACTGTTGTGAGAATTTGCGTTTTTGATTCATCCGCTCCCGCTGTTCTTGCAGCTAAAGTAGACTTTGGAGATAGCATTTTTAGAAACCTTTATTCCTACACAGCTTGGTCAGCTAAGGTCAGCTTGAAGGAAACCGAAGGTCCAATCAATCGTCTCTGTAGGTGCACCCAAAATATGTAAAGTATCCATTGAACAACAAAGCCGTCTAATGTACTTACTTATCCGTGCCCCTGAACAATAATTAATTATAAAATATCATTAGCTAATTAACTTGAATATTTTAAATCTATCGGAATGGCAAAAACACGGAACTTCCAGAGTAATAAAATAGATAAATGCAATTAAAATTTTCACAAAACGTTAATTGACTTCGATAATGCATTACCAAAACGTATGAGTTATTAGAATATTTGAGTCATTACTCTTCGTTATCGAAGTGGAATTTTTTTTTTGTACCTTCACGCAGCTATGTTCCGTCTGAAAAGCTGTTTAGTCGTAGCAGTGTATCCTTCTAGCAATAGATCTTCTTCCAAAGACGTCAAAGAAGCTTAGTTACCCTGGTTTTACCGGTTTCCATGGGCGACGGTAATCATTTACAATCAGGACATCGGTCTATCTGGGAAAACTTAAAAAAATAGGATACCTTTGGATTTGTTTGAATGTGGCTAATGATCTTAAAGCCTTTACACGTACTGTCAGACATTTACAAAATCCCCACGTGTAACGAGTAATCCTTTATATTGATTTTACTAAATTTTACTACATTCAAAATTACCACACCGGTCGGATGCACGCCAAAAGCGCTTCGCACTTACAAATGTCACAGTCGATATCAAAACCGGACGATTAATTAATCATTGTCTAGTGTCAATCATGATGAGACGTAGAATCTCATTAAATAGATCTTAGATAATAAAAAGAAAAATACTAACATGAATTGAAAATAAAAACACGAATGGTCTGATAACGGAAGACATGTTGAATGTGAAAGAGGAAACCACACTGATAATTCGCTTAGAATCAATGATACGGTTTTTATATAAAGGTACTATTGATTGCATTATCGTTCGGTTTAGAATTTTATCAGAATTATGTAACCGTATCACAGTATCGATATTAAAACAATAAAATCACAATCGAATCGTCTTTGATTGCGAATGACGAAATAACCTACGTTAAAATTGCATCTATATAAAACTGAGAGATTAATTTTAATGAATGAAGTTTATTTTTAGATTCTAAGGATGTATCTGTGTTTCGTATTGGTTTCGCTGGCGGTTCAGGTAAATATCTATATATTAATACGTGAAGCAAAAACTTTGTATCCCTTTTTACGAAAATCGCGTGGACGGAGGAGTATGAAATTTTCCACACTTATAGAGAATATAGAGAATAAGTGCACAATGCTAATATTTTTTTTAAATAATGCATAAAAGATACATTAAATCAATAAAGAAAATATTACACACACTACATATCATGTATTTGACGCACACACGCATGCATATACTATTTATTGTCAAACTTTTGTTCTTGACGTGTGTTGTCAAATTGAGAATAGATTAAATATTGTTTGTCTTTGTTAATATTTTTTATAGTGTAGTCTTGGCGAAATTTGTGATTATAGAAGTATAAAATACAATCATAATAGTGTACAAACTTGCAATTCCAATTAATTATAGTCGAATTTCGACTACTGCGGGGCCCCTAGTTATTTTAATTGTACTAAGTAATAGTAACGGTAATGCTAAAGTAAACACATGCTACTAGAAGTATTATCATTTATTCCGTGATAAGATCATGCGAGACAATCATGGAAATGCATATGTGACGGTGGCTATCATACAACACAAGATATTTGATTGATGCCTGAATTTTATTTACGATATTTTAAGATAAGCTCATCTCATTCGTTTGCACTCTTGGCAGAGTGGTCGTGGTCACCATTTCGGGTGGTGGTGCGTTTGACCAGACGTCGCCATTCCTTTCCAAGATAAGCTAATCCTCCTCCTCCTCGAGTCGTGTTCCTCATGTCTGAGGGTCGTGACCACCATCACCCATGAGCTTCAATCTTAAGATCTTTTTCCACTTTCCCCTGTCCACGGCGTCATGCAGCGCGCTGTACACTGTACTGTCCAAAGCGGTGCGGATCTGATCGGACCAACGAGTCTGGCTGCGGCCTCTAGATCTGTTGCCTTCAACTTTCCCTGTGATCATAAGTTTTTCCAGGTTATCGCCGTCTTTCCTCGCAATGTGACCAAAATATTCGAGGATCCGCTTCAGACATACAGTAGACAGTCTGATTTTGATGCCCAGTTGCTTCAATATCGACATATATAATATATAATATAGATAGATATATACAAGTTCCGAACAACAACATTTGGACCGTCGGTCTATCTTCCCTTTGTCGTAACCCTCCAAGCGTATATTGTTTGATAACATAGGTTCTTAAAATGAAAAAAGGACCGTGTCTTTTTTAATATCCTTTAATAAAAAGGAGGTTTTTTTGTCATAGTAAAAGATATCCTCTACCATGTTAAGATATAGATCGGTGTTGACTCGTGTCTGAATATTCTCATGTCCTTAACCACAAGAAAAAAATATGGTTCACTAGCCAAGCTGGGAACGAGACAAAACTGCACATTTTGTTTATTCAAAAAGGGACTAAAGTTTTAAAACTAACTAGTTCCAACATTTTTTTTTATTTTTTATTGCTTAGATGGGTGGACGAGCTCACAGCCCACCTGGTGTTAAGTGATTACTGGAGCCCATAGACACCTACCACGTAAATGCGCCACCCACCTTGAGATATAAGTTCTAAGGTTTCAGTATAGTTACAACGGTTACCTCACCCTTCGAACCGAAACGCATTACTGCTTCACAGCGGAAATAGGTGGGGTGGTGGTACCTACCCGTGCGGACTCCCAAGAGGTCCTACCACCAGTGATTACGCAAATTATAATTTTGCGGATTTCATTTTTATTACACGATGTTATTCCTTCACCGTGGAAGTCAATCATGAACATTTGTTGAGTACGTATTTCATTAGAAAAATTGGTACCCGCCTGCGGGATTCGAACACCGGTGCATTGCTACACACGAATGCACCGGACGTCTTATCCTGTAGGCCACGACGACTTCAACATTACATTTGCGTTGTATTATATTGCATTGTATTGCACAATAATATAATGCATTGCATTAAATGTTCAGATTTTAAATAATTTCAAAATCAAATAAAACGATTTGAATACTTTATTGACACGTGACTAAGTTATTGTATCTTAAGTGTAGCTTATTTTGGTCACGAATGATGTCACGTGTTAAGAATTTGCGTTAAGTCGCGTTTTCTTTTCTAAATTGCCATCAAGTTTTCTTCTTCGAGTAAGTAAAAATGTCGTATTGTTTTAAAATTTCACGAGCGGATAGCTTCATAGCTTCGGTCACAAGGCCCAGCACGTTTTTAGGCGTGACGGAGCGAAGTCTGTCGTAATCTAGCACGTTAATTGCGGGACAATTTTTGTACAAAGCCAGTGCGTTTGAGGTTTTTCGAGGCAAGATCGGAATTCTTTGCAGTGCGTATGGCACATGATAAACCTCACAAAGGACCGTTTTTGAATATGACTCATGCCCATAGAAATCTGGACATAGTCGCCTCCCGTTTTGAGCGAAAGAACACAGGTATTTATAAAAATTACTTGAGACCTTAGAACTTATATCTCAAGGTGGGTGGTGCATTTACGTCTATGGGCTCCAGTAACCACTTAACACCAGGTGGGCTGTGAGTTCATCTACCCACCCGGACGTAACTGGAATAGCTTCTTAAGCTACCAAAGAATAGGCAAGGAAAAAAATTGACAGCAGTAGATGCTTTGGAAAAGAATCTTTTAACACATACGTCGGGACCCGGTATCGCCTGCAAAGACTGGTATAGACCCAAAAATTGCACCTTATAATGCAACTGAGTGCTTAGTGTGAGTTTTTTAACGTTCTCGACAGCGTGAAAGTTAACCCAATTTTGTATGCAGTTGGAACAGCGCCCCTAGCGGCAAACGTACGCAAACGATCCCATTCGATACAAATATGAGCTAACTTTTACGCTATCGAGAAAGTTAAAAAACTCGCCTTAAACACAGTGGTCAATAAAAGTCAAAAAAAATTTTTTTTAAGTGAAAACTTCTTTCGAATCGTTGTGATTTCAAACCGGATTCAACGGAAAAAACGACAGGTAAGAGACACAAATACAAAAATGTGTAGGATGAAGCCAGCAAAGAATGAGACAGAAATATACATACAATTTAATACAGCGCCACCTGTGAGATTTTTTAATACTAACGTGTGTATGAAAGCTCTTGTAGTGAATTTTAATTTAGGATTACATATACGTGAAATTAAAATATCAATTCACAGAGGGCGCTACCTTACGATTATTTGCTAATGACAAAATTTTACATATACTTAAGACGTTTAGGATAATTGTATTTTAATTTTGGAAGGTTTCACTTCTACCACGTGTGAATTGCACACATTTTGTTTTTTTTGTTATTTTACTTCGTATTTTACTCCGTAATCATATGTTAACGATAAAATTCGTAATGTTTGCGTAACGTTTATACAGCCGAACGTGACTTATTACGTTAATATTATCAACAATATACGCACCTGCGTTTTAATGTATCTGTATTGTTAATTAATTTAATTTGAAAACTGCAGACACGAGGCGTTAATTGCGTTAACCGTAATGATAACATTTACAATCTTTTCAAAGGTAATAAATAAAAAAAATTGGCCCCTATTATTGCTAATTAGAGGTAAATTGTATGCAATGTATGTAGGCCTAAAAATGTAACTATACTGAGACCTTAGAACTCATATCTCAAGGTGGGTGGTGGCACTGGTGGTAGGACCTCTTGTTCACTGGTGGTAGGACCTCTTGTCACTGGTGGTAGGACCTCTTGTCTCACTGGTGGTAGGACCTCTTGTGAGTCCGCACGGGTAGGTACCACCGCCCTGCCTGATTTCTGCCATGAAGCAGTCATGCGTTTCGATTTGAAGGGCGGGGTAGCCGTTGTAACTATACTGAGTCCTTAGAACTTATATCTCAAGGTGGGTGGCGCATTTACGTTGTAGATGTCTATGGGCTCCAGTAGCCACTTAACACCGGGTGGGCTGTGAGCTCGTCCACGCATCTAAGCAATAAAAAAAAAAGTTTATGTTGTAGATGTCTATAGGCTCCGGTAACCACTTAATGGTGGGCTGTAAGCTCATCCAGCCATGTAAGCAATATTTTTTTTTATGCAAATCTGGCTTATGTCATCGGCCAAACACTTTCTTTTCAAAGCAATCAAATTCTGTATTTTTTCCAACATAAGAGGTCTTTGAAGTTCCCTACCTCATCATCCACAAACCGTTATCTTCTCTGCTCACTTGTACCAGTAATTTATCCACAAACCCTTAAACAGGCTTATTTTGTTACAGGGAATATTTTGTCAACGACACGCTACTTTTTCTCCAGGATATGAAGGGAAATTTGCAAAAGAACGTCTTTCACCTAATTACAGTGGCTTTGGCATTGGCATCGGGGGTCCAGCCTCAGTTATAACTCCTGGATCGGGCTTAGCCGCTGCCAAAGGCGGAGGACTAACCGTCACAAGCGCTTCACCAATAGCACCAACTGGCCTGTCAATACTCTCAGAGGGCTTATCAATTGACGGAGGAGCTGCGGCTGGAGGGAATACCCCGTTTTCCGGAAATGCTGTGCTTTTGAGTGACTTCTCAAATGCGGGATCGGCTGCAGTTAATCACAAACGTTCTAACGGAGCTTTTAGTGCCTCTGAAGGTTTAATATCCAAAAGCTTAGGCTATAAGCCGGGGTTAAGAAATATTGGAATCAAAGGGCAATAGAATTAGTGGATATTTTAAGTTACTTTAGTTGAATAATATTTATGTATTTATTTCATTAAAACAAAATTGTTCGGAGTAGTGAATTAAGACATTTATTTTTTGACTGTCTATTGTTGTTGATTTTTTTGTTGTCTATTTAGTAGACACGGTTAAAATAAATATCTGCGCCTCAATATATTATTGTTGTACTAGCTGACCCGGCAGACTTCGTAGTGCCTAAATCGATAAATAAAATACATAAACTTTTGTATAAAATAAACTTAAAACAAACAAAAGGAATCCCTCTGACGGGGGACACATCAAATAGGGAAAACAAAATTGTTATTTTTATTTAATTTCGAGCATTTTCATATTTATCTACCTTTTAAACCTTCTCTGGACTTCCACAAATAATTCAAGACCAAAATTAGCCAAATCGGTTCAGCCGTTCTCGAGTTTTAGCGAGACTAACGAACAGCAATTCATTTTTATATTAGTGCAAATCAAACATCCGATATGTGGCGGTCCCACACTGCGCTTGTCAGTACGTGGTCTCCACTCGTGGATCTTTCTGGCCCATCGGCCGCCCGATCCAGTGAAAATCGCTGGGTCACTTTGGATACAGGTGGCAACGAACTGACCGCACTGGAGATCAATTGGAGAGGCTTTTTTTCGGCAGTGGACAGGCTAAGATGATGATACCAAACATTCCTTACTGGTAGTAGGACGTCTTTTGGGTCCGCACGAGTAGGAATCACTACCTGCCTATTTCTGCCGTAAAGCAGTAATGCGTTTCGGCTTGAATGGTGGGGCAGCCGTTGTACTATACTGAAACCTTAGAACTCATATCTCAAGGTGGGTGGCGGCATTTCGTTGTAGATGTCTATAGGCTCCGGTAACCACTTAACACCAGCTGGGCCGTGAGTTCTTCCATCTACCTAAGCAATAAATAAATCTATAAAATATAACAGATCAGAGTCGGATCGTCTGGGACTACTGCGTTTACCGCCGATGCGTTTTAAGGTAATCATTTTTGCCTTCATTAGCCTCTAAAATTTACGGCCTCCATTAGACATGTCTTTCTTGAAACCAACTTTGAAAGGGGTCTTCAGCGAGTAGACAAGAGTATAGCTGTGCCGGGCACCGCAGATGTTCATGATTTGAATGAAATATAAAACAGTTGAGAGGCAGACAGAAGAGCTTATCATGAACAATATAAGGCGTAGACCAAAGCTTGGAATAAGTCGACGTGATAATTGCAATACAATAAAGGCAATACCTACTTCAAATTGAGTAACATATTCGCTACGTGACCAGCAATGTGTGAGTATTGCCAAATAACGTGTGCTTACATCACCTATTGTTCCGTGGCGAATGTATTACTGTAGTTCAACTCTGGAGTTGATCCCAAACAAAATGGAGGTAGTAAATACTTTGTAATATTATTGGTTAGGTTTCTAACTATTGGCCCGCTTGGCTGGTCGGTCTATTTTTTTTTAATTGCTTAGGTTGGTGGACGAGCTTACGGCCCACCTGGTGTTAAACGGTCACCGGAGCCCCTTGAGATATAAGTTCTAAGGTCTCAGTATAGTTACAACGGCTGCCTCACCCTTCAAACCGAAACGCATCACCGCTTCACGGCAGAAATAGGCAGGGTGGTGGTACCTACCCGTGCGGACTCACAAGATGTCCCACCAGTAAGTAAGAATGACGTAAGCATTCGTAATACCATTAATTTGATTACCAATAATGTTAATTCGAAATTCTCTAGAAATCTACGTCACAGCCGGCCGGCCGGACCGATTATGTTTTCAGATTGGCCCAGCCGGTGCGATGCGGTTTGAAGGGTGGGGCAACCGTTGTAACTATAATTGAGACCTTAGAACTTATATCTCAAGGTGGGTGGCGCATTTGCGTTGTGGATGTCTATGGGCTCCAGTAACCACTTAACACCGGGTGGGCTGTGAGCTTGTCCACTCATCAAAGCAATAAAATAAAAAAAATATAAAAAAACCTATTAATGTACTCCTTTGTACTGCAGTGTACTCTCAAAAAGAACGCTGTTTTTTTACTTCATTTTGACGGTATGTATCAGCGTTTACGTGAAATTGGGATTGGATATAATATATATCGTGCATTGTTAGAAGCGCCCAAAGCACGTCATTACGGATCCTCCCGATCCATTAACGGTGCTTTAAGTACCACAAGCACCGGTCACCGTCCTCGTCGAACCCGTCGTTTACGACGAAGGACCCGACGAGCGAATTAACCCATAGGCACAGCACACTGAGTTTCTCGCCGGATCTTCTCAGTGGGTCGCGTTTCCGATCCGATGGTAGATTCTGCGAAGCACGGCTCTTGCTAGGGCCAGTGCTAGCAACACTCCGGTTGGAGCCCCGTGAGCTCACCTACACACGTTAGGGTGAAGCTGAGATAGCCTCTCAAGGCTTTCAACATAGGTAGGAAAAAAATATTAGAAGAGATTTGGAGATCCGCTTCGATACTAATGAGATTGATTTAGGGACCAATAATATGACAACTCGTCTCAAAATGTCTTTTAGCATTGACGTAATGTCTATGAATTGTTCTTACGGCCAGATGGACGTAAGCCCATCTAACTTCATAGCAACAGAATAGGGATCAATGAGTGGATTTTTTAAAAAGTAAAATTGTGCTTGGAATTCTTTTGATGGAAACTGGAATCGCTTATCGGCAAGTTCTGGTTGAGATTTCGTATCTACTGTGAAGAAATAATATGTTTGAGGTTAAAGGTTAAAACGGCTAGTATCCAGAGGCTTTACCTGTGGGGGAGAGGTTTTTATTTTTTATTGCTTAGATGGGTAGACGAGCTCACAGTCCACCTGGTGTTAAGTGGTTACTGGAGCCGATAGACAACTACGACGTAAATGCGCCACTCACCTTGAGATATAAGTTCTAAGGTCTCAAGTATGGCTACAACGGCTGCCCCACGCTTCAAACCGAAACGCTTCACGGCAAAAATAGGTATGGTGGTGGTACCTACCCGCGCGGACTCACAAGAGGTCCTACCGCCAGTAAATGCATGTCCTGGTAGGAAGAACATTCTAATTTTCATGGTGGCCAGTGGCAGCTTCGATGAGAAGTAATAAAAACGAAAGAAATCAATCTTTAAACATACCTTACGAAAATGTGTTCTGTGAAATTAGTCAAAACGTTTGACGAAGTAATGGGCGTATTAAAATTCAATTTTATATCGAGGCTAACCTTAAAATGTTTTTCATAAGCTTACATAACAGAAAAATGGGGAATTAATATTAACTAGTTGTCCCGCAGTAGTCGAAATTCGAATATAATTAATTGGAATTGTGTAATAAGTTTGTACACTATTATGATTGTATTTTATACTTCTATAACCACAAATTTCGCCAAGACTACATTATAAAAAATATTAACAAAAACAAACAATATTTAATCTATTCTTAATTTGACCACAGACGTCAAGAACAATAGTTTGACAATAAATAGTATGCATGCGTGTGTGCGTCAAATANGCAGAACCAATCTAGGCAAGCACTCACCTACTCCTCGTCTAACTAACCTTTATAATAATCTTGTTAGAAAAGTTGAAAACCTTGACATATTTGGCGATTCCCTTCCAATATTTAAGAACAAAATTATAAAAAGTTGTTGTTGAACCTCAGCCTCAGCCTCGGTCTGAGTACTCGGGCATTACTGCCCTTGTTGTCTTTCTTTTGTTTTTAATTTTTTATTATTATTAATAGTATTGTTAAATCTCTATTAATATATTAATGTAATGCATGCTGTGATTGCCTATAATTAGAGTTGCAGTTATCAATTGCTCTATACATGTCAATGTTATTTTATGTCTTACTGTAAACCCTGTCGGTAATCCTTAAATAAATAAATAAAATGACTTCTATTAACAAATTTCATTCACTATTGTTAATTTATTACATTACATTTAACACTTTTGCACATCATATACAAATTACTTACATATTATATGTATAGAAAAACCTCTATAGTTTCAAAAAGATTTTTCTTAGACAAGTTCAATGAAGTAAACAATTAAATCTTACATAATATAATATTTGTTGTTAAAGTTAAGGCATTTAATTATTGTATAACTAAACATAGAAAATAAAAAAAATTGTAAATCATACAAGCATTTATTTCTTATAGAAAATTTACAAAATCATTCGTTAAAAATAAAATATAGGATAGGTAACATGTTACTGCCATCTACAGGAGCATTGAGAAACTAACCGAAGCGAAGCCATCTAGTGGCCAACGCCCGTAAACATTTTTGTTGAATGCTTGAGTTGCTTATCTATGACTAATTTATGCGTATTATCTATGATCACTCGTAGAACAACCGCTCTAGGCGACTGCCACAAGGGTACGTAAAGGGTTCATTAACTAATTGATTTAACAGACTTATGTTAATGCTGTCAAAGTCAATTAAATATTAATTACTAAAGACACTTCAAAAGCTACGGGTCAGATCTTGTCCAAGATGGAGCTACATGAAATTGGTATTGGTTTTCAAATAAAAATATTCACCAAAATCGGTCCGCCTAGAAAGTTCTGGCAAAGGCAGCACTCATAAAAAAATGTAATCGAATTGAGAGCCTCCTCATTTTTTAAAGTCCATGAACAAAATAAATACAAAACATCTGGGCGCAGACAAAACGTTTCTTGAGATCGATTAAAACAAATAATTTGAAATGTCAATTTTGTTTTTGATATGCGTATTTGAGAGGCTTAGATTCTCTGCTTAAAACATGAAACGCGGATATATTTCCATAATATTTTCAGCACCCGTACATCCTCTTACAATTAAACTTGACAAAGAACTAAATAATCATATAGCTATTACAGCTGGAGCGACTGAGTCATGGATACAAATCGGCAAACAGACAATGCCAGCGTCATGATCGCGAGAAAACTGAAAATTGCAGGTAGGATGTTAAGGGCAGAAAGATCTGTCTACCCTCTAGTCGGTATTCTGCTTTTTTTAA